AGAAAGAGTGGGAAAGAAATATCAATGTGTGGTTGCCTCTCATGTGTTCCCCAGTGGGGACCCGGCCTGCAACCCAGGCATGTGCCCTGACTGGGAATCGAACCGCAAGACTCTGGTTCACAGGCCCGCGCTCAATCCACTGAGCTACACCAGCCAGGGCATAAGGCTAGATTTAGAATACACTGTTCTAAATTCAATAACATGAAGGAAATGCATTCAGTATACTGATAGTGGAACAATTAGACTGTAACATTTCGTGTACTGTGTATGTTTACAGCAGTGGGAGTGGGGAAGGAACACTCAGTGGGGAACACAGCAAAGTAATAATGATTTTGCTGTAGATTTTTTTCCTTCACTTAAAATAAGAAAAAAATCTTTCATATTAAAAAAACTTTAGATAGTTAAAAATGTGGGCCTGAACTTACTATTATATCAGTTATTACAGCTTTCCCCCCCAGATTGAGTTTCAGTAAGTGTGTTATTATTTACTGAGAGAGAAAAAGAAAGATTTGCTGTAGGAAGAAAACTATAATATTTGTAGTTTTTCAATTCTCCAAATTATATCTGAGACCATGAATACCTGTTTCATGAAGTAGGTTATTTTCTAACTTACTTTTCTTTTAAAAGTATACTTTTTAAGACTCTCTTTCCAAACTATAAAAACATCATCTTCTTGTCGATATAAATCAAGTACCACAGGGGTGTACAAATGAAAAGCCCAAGTCTCCCCTCTCACGTACCTGCAGAAACAATTGTGAGCCGTTTGGCAGATGCTCTTTCTAGCCTTTCTATCATGGAGTTCACATGGACTATGTGACAGAATTGGACCTGCCGAGTCTAACGCCCGCTCGCCTGCGGAGGGCCCTGGCAGTTCGTGTAAATGTGTGAGTTCACTGGAGAAAGGGAGGGCCGTGGCCGCCTGGAAGCGGGTTTTACCCTCACAGCTTTCATATTCAAAAATAGTTAGAGCCCCGTGCTGGCTGGAGAGGGAGCGTCCCTCCATCAGTGTGGCACTGTGCCCTTTCATTCTTCCTTGCCCACTCCTCCCTCCCAGGCCAGTAAGGAATGACCGTATGCCATGTATTTATTTAATTCATTATTAGGGAGATGGCAGGAACATAAAACTGATTCCAAGGACATTTGAGGAATTGAGTGTATGTAGTCTAAAGAAAGAACATTGAAGTAAATTGCTAAACTAGCTGCAAAATTGGTTAATGTACTGCAAGATAGTAAAACCTTTGGATTCTGCTGTACAGAAATGATCTCTACCAAATAAAAATCTACAATTGACCTTCACTTGAGTCCTAATCAATAGTAAACAGCAGGTCAAACAGTGGTGCTATATAATGAAAAATCTTTGGGAGGACCTATTAAAAATGTTTCATTAATCATTTAGCATGGAAGGGCAGATACAGTGTTTCCCAGATAAGGTCAGGTTAAAAGAGTTTATCATCACTAAGTCCTTATTATATAAAATATTAAAGGGACTTATCTAAGAAAAAGAAGAAGATCAAGAATATGAACAGTAAAATGACAACAAACTCACAACTACCAACAAATGAACAAAAAAAAACCCCACAAAAAATTAACTAAGCAAACAACTAGAACAGGAACAGAATCACAGAAATGGAGATCACATGGAGGATTATCAGTGACAAGCGGGGGAGAATGGGGGAAAAGTACAGGGAATAAGAAGCATAAATGGTAGACACAAAATAGACAGGAAGAGGTTAGGAATAGTATGGGATATGTAGAAGCCGAAGAACTTACATGTACGATCCATGGCCATGAACTAAGGTGGGGGGTGGTACTGGGTGGAGGGGAATAGAGAAAAAATGGGGCAACTGTAATAGCATAATCAATAAAATATATTAAAATATTTTATTACACACTCAAAGGGTTTACAGTTCTTGATTCACCTGATTCCCAGTTTTGGTTAATTTTTCTTTTTTTTTTCTTTTTTTGATACTATGGCTTTATTGTAAATCTTTTTTTTAAAAAATTTTTTTATTGATTATGCTGTTACAGTTGTTCTATTCCCCCCTTCATTCCCCTCCACCCTACCCCCCATCCCCACCATTACCCCCCTTTAGTTTATGACCATGTGTCTCAAGTCCTTTAGATTCTATATTTCCCATGCTATTCTTGCCCCCCATCTATTTTCTATCTGCTGTCTATGCTACTTATTTGCTGTACCTTCTCCCCCCTTCTCCTCCTCCCACTCCCCTGTTGCTAACCTTACTCCATGTGATCTTCATTTCTATGTTTCCACTCCTGATCTAGCTGTCCTTTTAGTTTGCTTTCGTTTTAGGTGTGGTTGTTAATAACTGTGAGTTTGTTGTCCTTTCACTGTTCATGTTTCTTTAACTTCTTTTTCTTAGATAAGTCCCTTTAACATTTCATATAATAAGGGCTTGGTGATGATGAACTCCTTGAATTTGATCTTATCTGAGAAGCACCTTATCTGTCCTTCCATTCTAAATGAAAGTTTTGCTGGATAGAGTAATCTTGGTTGTAGGTCTTTGGATTTCATGACTTGGAATACCTCTTTCCAGCCCCTTCTTGCCTGTAAGGTCTCTTTTGAGAAATCTGCTGACAGTCTGATGGGGACTCCTTTGTAGGTGACTGTCCCCTTAGCTCTTGCTGCTTCTAGGATTCTCTCCTTCATTTTAATCTTGGCTAATGTAATTATGATGTGCCTTGGTGTGTTCCTTCTTGGGTCCAACTTCTTTGGTACTCTCTGAGCTTCCTGGATTTCTTGGAAGTCTATTTCCTTTGCCATCTTGGGGAAATTCTCCTTTATTATTTGTTCAAAAAAGTTTTCCACTGGTGGCTGTGCCTTTCCCCCTTCTGGTACCCCTATAATTCGGATGTTGGAGCGTTTAAAGATGTCCTGGAGGTTCCTAAGCCTCTCCTCATTTCTTTGAATTCTTGCTTCTTGACTCTTTTCTGTTTGGCCATTATTTGCTTTCTTCTGGTCTACTCCATTGATTTGAGTCCCAGTTTCCTTTTCATTGCTATTGGTGTCCTGTGCAATTCCATTCATTTCAGTTAGTTTCGCCTTCATATATTTGTCTAATTTGTCGGTATAATCAACCAGTTCTGTGAGGATCCTGATGACCAGTGTTTTAAACTGTGCGTCTGAGAGTTTTGCTATTTCTTCATCACTTAGATCTATGGGCTCTGGAGCTTTGAGATCTTGGGACATTTTTGGTCTGTTCTGGCCCTTTAAGTGTGAGAAGCGGTGCCTTGGACTCCCAGGTTGCTGGGTTGTGACGCTGTATGTGGGGGCGTGGTCAGAGCGGGGAAATGGCGGCCCCCTCTGCTGTTTCTCACAGCTGGGTGAGGATTAGCGTCTTAGGTGGTTCACCTGGGCTGGGCCACTCAGAGTCGCTGGGTTATGACGCTGTATGTGGAGGTGGGGTCAGAGCGGGGAAATGGCTGCGCCCTCCACTGCCGCTTGCCGCGGGGACCTGCCGGCCCCGGTCCAACCACCCGCTCCCTCGCCTGTCCGCCCGCGCACAAATGCGCGACCACAGTCAACACGCAGCACCGCTCCCCCGCTGTCTCCCCCGCGGTCGCTCAGCTGGTGGCTCGCTCCGTTGCTTACTAGGTCCAACCCTGCGCCTGGATTCCGTGAGTCTGGATTCTGCGCCTGAGTCCGGCTGACCGAGACCTCCTGTGCAATCCCGCTTCACCAGCTGCTGATTTCGCCCCTTACTGGTCAGGCTGAAGAATTTGTTGTTAACGGACTTCCAAAAAGTTCAATTTTCCGTGTTCTGGCTATGTTTTCTGTTGCTAATATTTAGTTGTCTCTAAACTTGGTTGTGTGAGAAGGCACGGATATCCACCTATGCCTCCATCTTGGCGGAAGTCTAATTTTTCTTAACAGTGAGAAAGGCCTGTTGTAACATATGATAAGGCAAGAGCAATAAAGTAGGGACAAGATTTTGGAAGAGCGTGGTATCTTAAACTAAGAAATTTAAAACATCTTGCAATAGATGTTCATCGAGCACATAGTATGTGCCAGGCAGTGGACGTACTATGATCCTGAGTGTGTGCTTGTGCTGTACTGCCCCTCCCATGCCCCTAGGAGGCTAACTAGTGGTTCTCAAGGGGGTGCATTAGGGAGTCATCTGGAAGCTGCTTTTCTCAAAATGCATGTCCTTCGTCCTCCTCCCCCCACCCCAAAGTAGGTATCTCTGCCTAAGTAGAACATGGGTGTTTTGAAAAAGCTTTCCAGGTGATTTTTATATCCCTTCCCTCCCTTTTGAAAATCATTGTTATGTTAATTGGGCTTTTTAAAAAGTTGAATAATAAACAGCAAGCAAAATTGTAATTAATGTTTGATGAATTGTAATTAATGTTAAAGGCGTATGAAAAAGTATTCATACCACTTTTTGCCTGTTCCACCCCATAATACTTAAACTTAAAAGTTAATGTTCTGATTACACTCTCAGCAAGAATTAAATGCAGTTGTCTTATTTAGAATTATATTTTGTGCAACTGAGACATTAATTTGGGAAGAATTGGGCTTAGTGTCTCTAATTGTATCCTTAAGTTATGCCTCTCACTGAATAAGCTGAGAGTTGTCATTCATAACAGTATATGATCTGCATGGCAGAGACGTGTGATTAAATATTAGACTTAGAAATGTTTTTAGTGAGAAAATAGACTGTCGACTTGTCGGAGACTGGTGAAAGGAATAAATAATAAAGGAAAAGAGTGAATATGTGTTTAACTTGTAATTAAACTACTTGAGTTGAGTCAACAGTTAAAATGAGCAGCTGTTGTGTGTGCATTTAAATTCTTCTCAGCCTGACGTTAATCAGGCAGCCATTTTGTGGGGGCGCTCTCACAAAGTAGGGATTTGTGCTTTCAGTTACCTAAGCAGCCGTGGAATTTACAACTTAATCATAGGGTATGATATTCCAGGTTAGGGGAGAAATTGGGAATTACCCCGATACAATTGGTACATTGTATGTTTTTCTTTTTATTAGTGTGCCGGTCCAACAAAAGCCCCTGGGTCTGTTTGACTTGTTCCAGTGTCCACTGTGGAAGGTAGGTGACATTACTGCACTTCTCTCCGTCCATTTTTCACTTTGCCTTTAAGCTTTATGTTAAAGGTTCATTGATTTGAATTTGCTTAGCACTGTTGCTCAGTCTGCGGCAGGTGGAGGGGAGAAGCCTTTGTACTGGTGCTCAGAAGAGTTCATTTGATGATCAAGGTCATCTAACTCTAGTAGTATTTGATTGAAATGATGAAATATGGGAACTTTGAAATATTTAAATAAAAGCTTACCTTATGGTTGTTTTTTAAACCTTTGATTAGGGTAAATTTAAGTATACACAAAAGTAGAGAGATAGTATATTTGAACCCCATATTTTAATCACCCAGCTTCAACAATAATCAGTACATGGCCAGTCTTATTTTAACTACTACCTACTCCCTCTCCACCTTTACTGACTTTTGATTCAGATTCCACGTATCACACCATCTTCTGAAGACAAAGCAAAACACTAAAATATTTACAGGTAAAGGAATTCCTTTGAAAATGCCCTCACTGTGAAGTTCATAATTCATTGCTAAGATGTACCAGATGTTTCACAGTTCCATTAAAACAGTCTTGCTTTCCAGGAACGTAACTTCCCATCCCTACCCCCCGCCTCCCACCCCATCCCGGTTCAAGCCTGAGCATTTCCTCCCAGTTCTTGGTTTTGAAACCATGTTACTGAAATACTTTAGTAACTCTTTTCTTTTGACACAAACTCAAATAAATGTCAGCCTGTGTGTTCATTTAGCCTGACAGTAACAAATTTATATCTATTGCTCTTTTAGTTTAGAAACCCCACTTTAAATTTGTTTCACAGTTAATAATAGCTTCACAGCAGGGCTTGGAAAATCACACGAAGTCACACAAGGTGAAATCTGTATTCATCAGGACCGTTTCCCTCTTGTTACTTTTAAACCCTCATTGCATGAAGAGAGCATCTTTATTCAGTTAACTTTTGATTTTCTACATTTTGAACTCGAATTTTTTTCCATGTACACTTAAGAGTACCTTTGGAAATTGTTAACTGAATATCTTTCTTAATTTTGGCTGTTGTAGTTTTGAAATCTCTAGGATTTGGGAAACCTGAAAATATACAGATAACATTTTTTTTTTAAAGAAGAAAAATAGAAGCACTTAAATTCTTCACTTGAAGAGACAGATTCCTCTCCTAGAGTTTGAGAGGTGAGAATTATAACACAACAAAATTTATATAGTGCTGTGTTCCTGCTGTCTCCTAGTGCTCTGCAACCTGAGTCTTGAAGGCCGTATGCCAACAGAAAGACCCGATGAACTCGAAAACTGGAGGGGTTACTGCGCTTGAAGGCAAGCGACAGTTCTTTAATCAGGGTTTGGAAAAATAAATGGAAATTTCTCTAGACTGTGCAGGTAGTCTGTTTCCAATTGCAAGCAGTCTGAAATTTAGGCATTTGACATAGTTACAGAAAAAATATGATTAAGTAGATTGAACAGATAATTGGAGTAGCCTGCCTTTGGATCTTCATTTTACGTGGCCGATTGGTTAATTTTCTTTTATTATGTAATCCTGGGTGTTGATTGCCAAGGATTCTGATTTTTTAGTAATTTTAGACCACTTGTCTATAGGGAAGTCTTAAGTTGAATATTCTTTCAACTAGGGAACAGTTTATTAGTAGCATATTTGAGTTATATATTCTGTTGGTCTTCATAATACCATCCCATGTAAATTATTTATAAAATATTTGTGATAGTTGTTAGAAAAGTGTGACATATATCGACACTTTTTTCCTTTTTAGACCAAATTTTCTAGTTAAAATACAAAACTAGTTGAAGAAAATAATTATTTTTATGTTAGCCATTTTTATACAAAACTGTTAGCTTCTAACTGATGAATTTGAGTATTATCCAAAATATTGCTAACCCTGATCCTGGCAGTAATGCACGTCTTTATCACTGCCATTTACAGTAACCACTTAAACATCTATATACATGGAGACTGCAGTGTAGTGGCGAAATCAACTTTGTGTACTATGTACACATAATCAGTTTTTAAAGATTTGAAAGTAGTAAGGCCTTTATGTTGCTCAGTGTCGCTTTTTCTTTGATCCCAGGGGTACACCTCATTATAAATATTACCATTCCTTTTCATGGCACAGAATAAGTACATATGAAGCATAGGAAGTTGAGTTGGTTAGTTGTTAAACCTATATTATGCCTTGGAGTTTGCCCTTTTAACTAAACATTGGGTGTTTTTGGCCTATGTAGTGCGTCATCTCCAAGTATGTGCTTAATATGACCACTTACTAAGCAATTAAGCCATATGGATTCTGAATAAAAGTGGTTAAGCATATAAAGTACAATACAGACAAAATAATTGCTAATATTTATTTATTCATGTATAGAATATCATGTATTCCGAGTCATGGATTACTTAATTTAGTCACCTAACAGTTTATGAGATATGAGTACTATTATCTCCATTTTACAATGAAAAACATAGGTATAAAGATGTTAAGTGACTGACCCAAGCTCACATGGCCAGCATATGGCAAAGCCTACCTTTGAACCCAGGCCGTCTAGTTTTTTTACCATTAACCACTATTTTGTTTTTAAAATCCTTCACCTTTGTGGACAAAGGACCCCTGTATACCCAAGCGTTGGCTATGTTTCACTTCAGTGAGAAAACGGAAAAACAATGCGATCATATTCTGAGTTAAGTCAGTGGTGCCTCTGTCCCTTCCCACTTTGTGGGGTAGAAAGGCTGGGCTTGATGTGGGCCCTCCCTGCTTAGCATGGCTGTCTTCCTTTCCCCAAGGTAAGTGTCGCCCCTGGTGCAGTTAGGGTGCCTCGCGACAGGGATGTCACTTTAACACTCAGAGCATGTTTATTTTGGTGCCATTTAACCAACATTTGTTTTGACTGTTAAGAGTTTTCAAGTTGGCATTGCCTTATACGAATTGGCTGATTTTTAGGAAATAGGGGTTTTGTTTTATAAGGGTCTTCACAGTTGCGGTTAGTTACAACGTTGTACAGTATGTGGGTGAAAGGTGGATGGATTTGGGTGCATACTATGTGCATAGGCTCACTTATTTCAAAATATTTCTGTTTTCTGAAATACAATGATTTATTAAGTCTGAGTTGGAAAGTGTTACAAAATTTTTATGACTATAGTCAACCTTTGATTATCTTGTCCAGGTAGAGAAATAACAGTTTATATAAGCCTAAGACGATTTGTGTTTTGTTTAGATTGTTTCTAAACAAATGCGTTTCCATATGAGCGGAGCTGGTTGTCCAGGTGTTCGAATAAAAGATCTGAAGCCATATTGACAAGAAACAGATGGAAGATTATCCTGTTTCCATATCTGACTCTCTGTTATATTAAGCAGACACCCAAGCAGAGCCTGTGGCCCTCTGGGAAGTGGTTGAAGGATTTGGTTTACAGGGCTCGTCTTTGATAACAACCTGAGTTGGGGGGTAGCAGTCTGAGCAAAAGCTTAAAAAAAAAATAGCTACAGCAAAAGCATTAATGAAAGAGTGGATAAATGATAATATTAGTAGTATTGAAACTGGTTTGCATAGGGGATTTTTTCCTTGCTTGCCCCTAGTCTTGTGCATAATGTAATTAAGGGTTGACTGTCATATTTGCAAGAAAAGGAGCATATTTTAAATACTCAGTTTAATAAATTACTAAATGATTGTGTGTTCTTAAAAGGAGGAATTCTTCCTCATTTTGATTTGTTTACCATTTAATTTTACAATATTATCATCTCCTGCTACTTTCAAAGCAATATTTAGATTAAAATATATTTTCATTTGGTTTTTGTAAGGTATGTGAACGGCCATGCAAAAAAACATTATGAAGATGCACAAGTACCCTTAACCAACCATAAGAAATCAGAAAAACAAGATAAAGCTCAGCACACAGTGTGTATGGATTGTAGTAGCTACAGTACATACTGGTAAGTATTAATATTTTCCTGGAAATAATATTCCTTACTATGAGTGTGCACGTGTTTTCTCATTTTCCCTGTTCCCCTCTCTCCCCAATCTCTAAGCCAGTTGCTCCTTTTAGTTCTGCTAGGGTTCGCGGGGGCTGGAGCCCCGGGGAATGCCTGTCCTAGTCGTTAAGATTTTACTTTGCATTGTTCCTTTCAGCGTCTAGGTCTCCTCTTCTTCCCCACCCAACTCGTTGTCCATCCCAGTACGCGTCAGGAAAATGAAGAGTATCTATTGCTTTGTTGTCGTTTATTGTAATTCCTTTTTTCTTGTTTTGTTTTTAATGGAAGAATATAATAAAAACCTGTTTCCACTGTACAAGTTAACATTTTGTTACATATTCTTAGGACAGTCCCCCTTCTCTCAGCACAGTTCTGTTCTTCTACTCCTTGTAAATAAATGTCAGAAATTTCGTGTGTGGCTCTTTTTTTAAATGTCACATCCTTTAGGAGGAGATTGGAGGCCCCATTCTCTTTGTAACACAATATATATGTCTGTTTCATATAAATGACAGTAAAGTCGAGTACCTACTTTTATGACTATTTAGGTCTAGGTTATTTAGGTTACAGTGATGTGTAACAATCCGTATCCATTTGATATGCTCAGAGAGTCAGTCTATTTTGCAGTTTTAACTTTGATGTGCAGCACATTTTCCTTGACCAGTAAATTATGATGAGTAATTCTTTACTGTTTTAATCAATTCATTCAATTCAAGAGGTTTTTGACATTGAAGAGATAAAAGGCCATTTAAAGGATTTCTTTGGAGGGTTTGTTTCTTTGTTTTTTGTTTGTTTTTGCTATAGAGCTCTTACCTGTCACATAAAGGCAGTACTAGGCAGGGAGGAGGATTTAAAGTTCAAATATTGTGTTCGATTCGTACTTCCTACTGAAGTTGTGTGCTAATCCTTTCTATATCATCTTTAGTTGATAATTGTATTGTAGAAAGGTGTTCATCAAAAGGAAGAAAAAAATGTCGGTTGGCTTCCTAAGTCTTTTAACTTTTGACAGGTTTAGCATTATTAAATTGTGGCTGTTGAATAAAACATCTTAAGGTTTAGCCATTCAGATCATTAACACATCAGTGGTCCTTTGTGTGGAATGTGTCCAGATCTGGAAGAGAGAAGCTGGAGGTAGATGAAGGTGAAAACCTTCCTAAGATTTTCACCAAGGGCTAGCGCTCAGCTTATTGTTACTTGCTTTTGTAAAACACTCCTTTCTGCAAAAGGTAAGCATTAGACAAGCTGTTAAATTGTTTTCATTAGTTTTCTTCCTTTCCCTCAGGAAATTTACATGTTAGAATGATATAACTATCTAATTTTCAGAACCATGTGTTTCTGTAAGGTATTAAGACAGCAGAAAAACAGATCATTCTTGGAGTATCTATCTCACATTCATTGTTGGAAGGTCGTATCAGCTTCCATGTACCAGATTTTAAAATATTTGTTCATCTTGATATTTAGCAATGTGCATGAAATGCTTAATGGAGAAGTTAAGAAATATGTTAAATCTGCGTCTTAAGGGTTTTCTTCCTTTTGGTGAGATTATAAGGAAGTAGTAATCTGAGAAAATTTTAAGAATTATTTTTGAAATATGTTAATAGAGTGGAGTTATGATGATAGGTCTCTTTAAGATATATAATTATATAATTATATACTTTAATGTCTTTATATATTGCATTTTGAAGGAATACCTTTATTAAATAGAATTTGAATTTAATTTGTCTTACATGGGTATAGTGTGCTAAAGTACATGTCATTTCATGGCTGAATTGGAATTAAATGGCGGCTTTTGAACCCTGGGGAATATACACCATGGCGGAGGCTTCTTGGCCAATTGCCAGTCTTTTGTGTGAAGTTGTACAGAGATGCAAGTGTGTGGACACCCAGAGCTTCTGAAATGCAGGAGGGGAGCTGCAGCTGGTCACATTACTATCTCATTTGTGGGTTTTAGGACAAAATGCCAGGGATTCACCCTGTAGCATTATACTGGCAGCCTAAAAGGACTCCGTGATAGCTGTGAACTGATGAAGCTGGAGTTTGAATGAACATTTTCCCCACACCTTGCTGGGGAATGATTTTCTGTCTCTCTCTCTCTCTCTCTGTGATTTTCCAGCACGTTTTAGTAATTTCACTTCTGTTTATAAGTTTTGTTTGTACATAAATTTCTTGGGGTTAGACTGAATGATTTGCTTTAGAGGTAAAATACAGCTGTACTGGGCTTAACTATTTGATTATTAATTATTTTGCTGGTAATCACAGTACTTTAACTTTAGCTGATATTAAACCTTTCCCATCTGCTCTGTGCTCTGAAGAAGTGAAACATGCTCTGAGGCTCACAGGTTCTCTATCCTTTCCAAGAATCCCTGCCCTGTCCTATCTGTGCATGTCCTTTATGAAATTATTACTGAGCTGACCCTCCCCCACCCCCAGCTCCAAATGTAGCTGGATGTAGTAATCTCTCCCAAACTCATAGTTCTTGGGATACTTGTAATTTCCTGCTGCATGTTAGGTATTTGTAAATGTCCTTGGGGTTGCAGGAACCGTGTGTCATATCTTCGTCTCTTCCACAGTACTCAGAGTCTGGTACAGAGTAGGCAATATGTATTAGAAAGATTGAATTCTGTTAACAGTCTCCCCAAAATGGGCCAGGTTATACCAAATCTGTAATACTGCATCCTCTGATCATCTTGGGCCACAGAACATCTTTCCCCAGGAAAACCTAAATTAGGCACATGTGAGTTACCTTCATTTACCTCCCAAGAGGGAGACCCTTGCAGAGCAGCTCCCTTTATTTCTGATATAAACAGGGCGTCTGGAAGAAGCACATAGTAACCAAATGGAACAACATAAAATTTCAAAAGAGGGAAGGAAACACCAAAAGGAATAATTTTGATGTGACATAAACCCACTCCTTTAGGAGGTAAGTCACATTAACTGAGCTGAAGGTAAATGAAGCTTGCGGTAACGATAAATATCTTAACCAAGATTTTCACACAAGGGCCAGTGTTCAGTTTTGTTGTTTAAGTAATATTTGTTTTCCTTCCACCCTAATTTGTCTCCTTTAGTCAATACAAGTGGACTTGCATATGGTATACATTATTGGATCAAACAGAAACAGTAGATAGACATTCTGAGTTAATAGATTTAAAATACTGAACAAATAATTTTTGACATCTGACATAGTCTTGTCAGCTTTGATCTTTAACACAACAATATCTGAATTCCTGAGAATGCAGAAATGTGAAAGGAATATTAAAACTAAATTACTAGAATTTTCCCTCCTGGCAAGATAATATTTTAAAGAAGTTCTAACAAAGAAATATTATGAAATGTAGGTCAATTCATTTGTCTAGAAAAAAGACTTTTATTTCACATTTTGAACACCTATAACAGTACTAGTTTTAATCAAAACTAATAAAAATAAAGCTCTTAACTACAGGCTTAAATTGATATTAAAACATTTTCAAAGGCAGTTGTGATTAAAAATAAAAAGGGGCAAATTTTTTCTGTTGACTGTCTTTAGAAACTATTTGCAAACAAGTTTGCAGTGGTATACAGATTAGAGAATAGGAAGAATTTTGTTTATTTAAAAACAGTATTTTGAAGTTTACAAAAACCTTTTAGGAGAGGTGGTCTGAAAACAAAAGCTGGTATTTTCTGTTTTTAACAAATGTTATGGGTATTCTCTGCAGGTATTCTTCTGATTTTCTAAAATTGGCTTATTTGATAGCAATACACCACAATGTAAAAAGGAGAATTTAAAAATAAGCTTGCTTTCTAGAAGAATTCTTTTGAGTTTTAAGTTTTCTTGACTTGAAATAGATGAAGTTACTGGAATATCAGCTTAGGTTTTTTTTTTCCCCCATAGCTACATCTGTTATTTGTAATAAAACTAGAGGTCAAATTTGCCTTTAGATAACAAAATATTATGCCAGGGAATGAAAAAGACTTTAAAACTTAATGATGGGTCTGCCATTGTCCCTTTTTTGAGGGTATTTCTTGCATAATAGTTGTTTTTTGTTTTTGTTTTGTATTATACACTACTTCCTATATAAAGATAGCTTTGTAGCCAGTAGATGAAAGGACTTTTTTTCTTTCTTGTTGCATAAAAAAGTCAGGTTCATTTGTATGATGATTGCTTCCATTTAAGAAGGGTGAAGAAAGGTTTAGTTTAGGAGTATTTTCTTAGTTCCTTAAGAATGTGATGTGGAACCTTGTGTCTTGGGTGGTGTCAATAGCACTGATAACAGGAATGGAAAAAAAATCATAGAATTTTAAGGCCGAGAAGGAGATACGAGATTTTTCTGTGCTGGGTGTGATGTGTGGGCCATGCAGCATGTTGGTAGTTCAGCAATTAAAAGTGGCCAGGGGGCTGAGGAATTTAATGTTCTATTTTGTTTTAATTAATATATTATAAGTTACATTGCCATATGTGGCTGATAGCTATTATGTTGGACAGTACAGTCTCAAACTATTAAAATTTAACATTGAGTATATTAATGTTATGAAACTTTCAAAACCTTAAGACAGAAATCTGAAATAAACTCCAAAATGAAAATAAGTCAATTTCACTAATTAAAACAGTTGCAAATAATTATAACTCAAAGAAAATCTAACCCAGTGAGATGGATCAAAAATTATATAATTACTGAGTTAATTATACCTGAAGTCTGCCAACATATTCATTATTAAAGGAAACCTCAGATTATTGTACCATTAAAGCAAAAATACATTTATAAATAAACCATTTCTGATTTTAAAAAACTAACATTGGAATAAAAGGGAACTATTAAAATGTGATACTTTCCCCCCCAAATGAAAGCAAACATATACTAGTTGGTGAAATACTAAAGCTGTTTTCATTTAAATCAGAAACAAGACAAATACTTCCTATCATCAATTCCATGATCGCTACTATATATAATTAAACATTGTTTTAGCAGTTATAGCCACTGAAATAAGAC